CTAGAGTGTCTGTTCTGTTGTTCACAATTCTTCTGTTCCCTGCTATGTTACATCTTTTGTCTTATGTGCGTTAAGCAGTCCAAATTCTGTCTCTACAGCTGTATTAACTGTTACCTACCTATTTTCATCAGTCCTGTCTCTGGACTTCGTTCTGGACACACAGGGCATTTTGCTAAATGATTTGTACTAACGGATTAGCTGATTTAACCAATGGCCACACTCAGCCTCCAGCATTCAAATTTGTGTATTAATTGGTGAAAGACTGAAAAAGGTTTTTTTAATACCAGTATTAAGCTCTTCTCTTTTCAATAGCCTGCATTTAAAGGCCACAGAAATTTTAATGGGCATTTTATTTATGAAGCCAAAGCTTCATAGCAAGTAGCAGGTTTTGATTACATGATTACCATGTACAAACAGCCCCATGCTGTTCACCACAAGAAGCTCATACTCGCATGACATGAAAATCTGAAACTATACATGGAGAGAAAGGTTTCTTGATTTTCAACGTATTCAGCAGTGAACAGGTTTTTAATCTCCATAGGATTCTTAAAAGTTACAGGAGCTTGAAATAAAACAAGTACCTGTGAAATGTCTGTAATTTGAGGCTAGAGTATAGACTGTCAGGACTATTACAACCAGCTCATGCACATGAGATTGGCTTTACTGTTATTTTTACCTTTTCACTTCCCATTTGTATTTTTAGTCATGCTGGGATCTGTCACAACCCCATATTCTCAGAGCAGAGACTGTATTTTTTACATAGAGCTGAATACAGTTTAAGTACTAATTGTACCTGCAATATGAATAAGAAACAGTACTAATATAATTACACGTTACAGTTGAATGTGAAAAAGGTTGTGAGCCAAATTCCTGTTTCCATTCATGCCAAATTTTAGATAAAACTGTGAGGAAGAAAAGTGGATATTAGGCGCCTCTGTGAGGATACAGTTGTGAAAGTTAGTCCCCAAATATTGTAATTATTACTGATAAGAAAAAGGTTATTCCTAAGTATAGGATTTAATCCTGGGTATCTAATCTACACTAGCTTTCCTTAAGGGCAGCCGGCAAATAACGACACCATAGCATGGCATTGTTGGGCCATACCACATCTTTTTACCAGACCCTTATCTGATAACTTCATTGTCACGGGTGGAGTTGCGGAGGGAGTAATTTAAGAGCAGGCCATATCTCGATCTGGTTTAGACTCCCCAGCACAAGGATCAGCCCTCGGGAGCAGGCTTTAAAGTCATGTGCACTAAAATGACAATGTCTGCAAGATTTGCCAGAAGATGGAACAGGAATTCAGCAGAAGAGACTCTTACTTCAGTAAAACCTTACTTACATCATTAAAACCTCTCGCTATAAAAAGTACCTGTGAATCTAGTAATTAAAACGATATATCAAAACCAAAACCCAGACTGGGTGATCTACTGAGAACAAGAGTAGACTACTACTATAGAGATTATATACATATTTTAGGTAAACCAGTAGAAATTGGCAGTCGCGTATTTCTGAAAATGCTAACTGGTGTTACGTGCAGTAAATATTTAGGCACTTCAAATATTTGAACTTGTAATTTTTCACCAACTGTGCTCTTCAGTAACACATTGAGAACACTTCATTTTCCATTCAGTAGAAACAATACTTACAATTATGTATAAAATTATACATATTCACATGAATGCTGATAAATGTAAACTTCCTGGGACTTTATACTTAGAATAATTTATTTTATTTTATCTCAGACACTTGTCTAACGGCATGTATCATGCACGCTGCATATACGTGCAAGCCGTTGAACAGAGGTGTCTTGTAAGCATACAGCAATTTGCAGTAACGGGTTATTCTTTAGACCAGATTTCTAAATCTCTGAACAGAGGTTGCTAGAAAATGATCTCTGAACAAGCACAGAGAAGTGCCAACTACTTAGCAGCAATTCTGTCCACTTTTTCAATAGTGTGGCGCTGATACAATGTGAATGAAGCGTGTGTTTCTCACCTGGCTGTACTGGGTGTCTGAAGACAGGCTAAACCCAAGATTGTAGCTGGCCTACAGTATTTCAAGGAGACTGGCAACAGGAGGAGGAGTACTTCCACAACTGAATTTATTATGCTAACAAAAAATGTAGTTGCTTGAGCTTGGGTCTCCAAGTGATGAATCAAATCCCTGATTTTAGGCTCCTTGCTTCCGAAGTCTTTGAACAACTGTTCTAAATAGCTTCATTTTTTTTATTATATCTCTTTCCCCGCTACTGTTTCCCTGAAATATCACCCTTGCCAAATTCAGAATTCAAACGCCCCAGATTAAAGGACAAAACCATATGTGCATTCCTAAGCATGCATGTAAGCAAGCAAAATGTGGGGAAATGGGAGAAATAAATGTGCAGTTCAGCATTTTATTTGGTCATAAATGAAAGCAATAGCAGCTAAGCAACGTGAGATGATATGTGACTTTTTTTGTAAAATACTTTTTAGGGGGTTTTGGGATTATTTTTTTCTTTTTTTAAAAATAAACTGCTATAAACTACTTTTAATCAATATAAATTTATTCATAGTAAAAACCAAAATACATATTCTAGCCACCGTCATCAGCTGGCACTGTTATTTAGCTTCCTGGCTGTGTGAGTAGGTACAAAACACTGCACACTGGCATTTCTGGTTATTCCAGAGCTCACGTGCTAAGCAGAACACAGACGTGGTTGCTCCTTGCAAAACAAACAAGAGATAAAGACTTTGTGCTTTTCGAGCTGAGCAGGAGCTCAGCCAAAGGCACTGCGCAGGTAAGGGGTTTCGTTATACAAAGAAACGGGGCGTTCTGACAGCCAAGCAGCATCCTCGTAAAAGTCGCACCGTCGAGGTTCAGACTGCTCGATCGAACCACCCGTATCTGCGAAGTAGGTGGTTGCTGGGTCTGTGTCGACGCAGACCACCCCTGCCAACCTAACTGCTGGGCAAGGCAGAGCACCTCGCAGAAGTAACGCTGGTTACCTGAACAGCAGCCAGTGGAGTGTGGCCTCGCTTCACTGCCACAGAAAAACTTTGTCTTCTGGCTGCTGATCAGCAGGATCTGTGCTCTTCTGAGGAAGGAAGAAAGAGGAAGCACCACAAGAAAGAGGAAAAAAAGAACATTTGGGCTGAGAAAGTGGAACTGAGCAGGCTCTTCTCACAGGAGCTGGACTTAACCTTACTGAAACCAGCAAGTTTAAGGCTTGCTTTTCATTACAAGCAAGCTTAAAGCTTGTTTTTCATTTAAGGTAGTTGCCCAGGTCATTATATATGTGTACCTATGTACAACAAGAACCAACGAATGCAAGTTACGAATGTAAATGCTCCAGGTGGGACGCTTCAGTTGGGCATTTTTGTACAAAAGAAAATCACAGAAACAGATAAAAAACTTGGGACAGCTTGAAGATGCCCGTGCCTCCAAAGCAGCTCTTGCCCTTTGGCACTTCTGCGCTCTGCCAAGAGGCAGGGCCACGCCAGCTGCTCGGAGTGACAGCCCCGGCGTCTCTCGAACAGCACATGAAGAACAGCCCCAGCCTGGAGATGCTACAGTCCTGCTGCCTTTCAAGCCCCTGCCACAGCTCTGGTCCTCTTCAGTGGCCGAGACCAGCCCAAGGCGCAAGGCCCGG